TACAACCACGTAAGATTACGCAGGTGTGTGCATATTGACTAGAAAGGAAGATGCAGTGAAGTGAAAGTCGCTCAGTCATGTCCGACCCTTTGAGACCCCAGAAACTATACAGTTCATGGAATTCTCCAGGCCAGAATACTGGGACAGGAATGCACTCCAGGGAAAGGAGTGGGTAGCCTTTCCCTTCTCCAGGGGATCTTCCCAACCCAGGGATCGAACCCAGGTCTCCTGCACTGCAGGTGGATTCTCTACCAGCTAAGCCACAAGGGAAAACCAACAAAAATTATAAATGGATAGATTAGGGGTAGGACTGTAATTATTAGTTAAGTTTTTGGTTTTGAGTAATTGTTATATAACTGCTACCTGTATGAAATTTTTAAAATAAATAAAGTGCTAAGGCCATAAGGTTGTTATAAAACAAACTGAATCCATGAGCCACACTAGAAAAACCGCCAAGTGGTCTCACTTCCTACATCAACAAGCACATTTAGCAAATATCACTCCCTCTACAAAGCTTTTCCTGATCCATATAGTTTCATGTCATCAGTCCACATCCTTCCAACTAGTCAAGAAGTGGAAGTGGAAACCATCTATTTGCATACATCTAATTAATACCTCATATTACCACCTGAACTTTCATACCCTAGGTTCATTTTGTAAAGTACAGTCTTATATTTAAAGTCTAACTCTATGTAAATCAAGACTTTCCTCATCACACTATAATCTGGTGCTTTCTTTTTGGAAATTAATTAATTATTTTTTAAATTCTAGCACTGATACTTTAACTCATACACATTTCGTTGGAAGCTTGAATGTTCAAACAGAACTATTAATTATTTCCAGAACAAAATAAAGTTTCCTCTCTGTTGATAACATTGGGAAATCTACCTAAAAATCCTTAACCTGTAATTTTACAATTAATTTTTAATTTACAAGCTTTTAAAATATGAATTTTAAATTTGATCATTAACACATATGGAATATGCGCTATATTTCTAATCTTCACTATGCAAAATTAATCGGAAATACAGCAGAAAAAGCATGCTTTGATTTTTTGCCTCTGAAAAAAACTACATATAAGAGCCCTAGTGTTAGCTGCTCAGTCGTGTCTGACTCTTTGCGACCCCATGGACTGAGGACCTCCAGACTCCTCTGTTCATGGAGTTTTCAAGGCTAGAATACTGGAGTGGGTTGTTGTGACCTACTCCAAGGATCTTCCAGACCCAGGTATCAAACTTGTGTCTCCTGCATTGCAGGCAGATTCTTTACCATCTGAGCCACTAGGTAGCCCTAATGTTTCATCAAACCAAAAAAACAGACCACATAAAATTCTAATTTAACCTAATATCAATATTAGTAATAATTACAAATGTTCTTTGCACTGGGACATGTTCTTCACTTCCGACAATTCACACATACTGCTCAAAAACTATTTCCTTGCATCACAAGCAAATAAAGGCACTACCCCCCACAGACTGTAAATTTTTTTCACACATTAGTTCAAAAATCATTGTAATACTGAATGATTCTTTTTAAAAAAGAATCTGATTTGACAGATTTATTAAATTAGCTAACAAAAATAATTATTTTCATGAATATTTTGTATTAATAGGCATAAAGAAGTCAGTCTCAATGGATTTTTAAAAATTTCTTTCCCTGATATTTTACCACATTCAAATAACATTCTAACCTACAGGCTTCCCTGGTGGTGCAGTGAATAAGATTCTGCCTGCCAGTGCAGGGGTCATGGGTTTGATCCCTGCCTGGTCTGTGGGGCAACTAAGTGTGTGCCACAACTACTGAAGCCGGAGCCCCCTCGAGCCTGCCCTCCACAATAAGAGAAGCTACCGCAATGAGAAGCCCATGCACCGCAACTACAGAAAGCTGCACAAAGGCAAGGAAGGCTCAGCACAGCCAAAAAGAAAAAAATTCCAACCCAGAAGGCAGGCGAACCCTCCACGACCCAAAGGAGGAAGCTGAGCTCCTGAGATGAGGTGACACAAATTCCTACAGTCATAATGTAAACCAGAGACTTACATTCATTCAGTAGGCCCGCAACTTCCTATTAAGTAAATTTATTACAATAACAGGCAGGCAATCAACATAATAAGTTCCATCAATTTAAGTTTTTTAGAGAGGCATATATTTTGTAGGTAAAAAATGCTTTCAATAAAAATGAGAAAGACTTTGAAGGTGAACTTAATATCAAACTTAGAACTCAAGACACACAAATATAAGCCATGTCGAAAACAGCATCACAGTCAAACAGATGTGAATAAACAGAATTTATAAATATATTAATGAAGTAAGATTAGTTAAATACATCTCTGTTGTGAAAGGTTGACAAGTTTTCAGACCAATGATAAATTTTATTCTAGACCAAATAAAAAGAAAAAAACATTTGCTCAGCAGAAAATCTGCTGAGGAATGGCATTAATGTGTGGCACTAATTGGAATGAGTGTAGTATCTTCTACTTCAAAATGAGGTCTGAAAGACTAAAAGAAAAAAATCCTGAAATACCGTTCTACCTGAAAACACATATTAAATGCATTTCTACCTAGGCTGGCTAAGGAAAAAAAAAAAATCTGTATATCACAAAACACTTTCTCACAGCTTATTTTTATTGCAGTTTGCAGAACATTTGAAAATGCATAAAGAAATTTACAACTCTACCATCGAAAGACAACTTTTATCATTTTATTATCTCCTTCCAGTGTTATTATAAAGACTTCTGATAGAGTAAAAACTTCAGCGTGTAACCTAACATTACAATATTGTAGATATCCCCATTAGAAAAAGTTCTATAGGCATTTTAAAGCATTGCTTCTCATTCTGAAGCCAGACTTCTTTCCACATATGTGAAGAATCCCAGTGGGCCCTAAAGCACATCTGTTAAGACCAGTAACATGGACAGCACCACAAACTGCATCCGGATCCACTGGATAAGAAATACAATTTTTAAAAAATTGGGGAATTCAAATGCCATACAATTCCTGGGTTTTCAGGTGATGTATACCTAAATGACCCTTACTTTATCAATTTAGTAAGCTCATGATTAACAATGATAATCAGTTATAGCTGTTTGTACTTTACCCTTTGCCAGACTCCTATGTACTAGCATTTCGTTTTCACCAAGTTAGGAAACAGGTATATATTCTCTTATCACTGATGTAGAAAACTGAGGTACAAAGAAACGAAGTGAGTTTACAAAATTTACCCAATCAACTTGGGAGAACTAGAAATCAGGTCTTTTAAACTATCAGGATCATTTCTATTTGTGTTAATCTATACTGATGTTTTTATACAACATGACATGGTGAAAGAGAACCAGATACTCTAGTTGTTAAAACACTTGGTAAAAACTAAAATTAAACTTAAAAAAAAAAAAAAGTAATGTTGCATGTTTAATTAGGCCAGGCTTGAGAAACTCTAAAAACAAAGCAATTTTCTCATTTGCGGAGGAGACATTTAATCAGTTATAAACTATTCAAAGATCTTTTTTTTTTAAACATAACATAAACACTTTCAGATTCTAAATTAGCAAAAGTGGTCAGAGTATCCTGCTTATGTAGTTATACTTTGTATCAACATACCTTATTTTACTGGTGTCTCAGTTTCCTTGTGTTTGAAATGAGATAACAATACTTAACTCAAGACTGCTGTGGTGAGGATTAAATGAGTTAATAGATGTAAATCACTTAGGGTTGTCACAAATTAAGACCCATTCAATCAGTGTTAGCCACATGTTAATATAAGTCTGTTTTGCTTTTTCTTTCTACCAGGAGGAAAATAAAAGCATAGGTGCTAAAACTTCAATGAAGGAAAGGATTTCACTTTAATTTATTAAGTGCTGATGTTCAAGAATTCGATTAAGGAGATGATCTAACTGAAACCTGAATGCTGCCTAGAATTGAAAGAGGTCAGTTTACCAAATACATTTTTTCCATTTACATTATATTTCCATATGCCTGTCAAAGTTTTAGCATCTTCACAATGACATGCTTAAGGCCATGATTCCATACTCTACTGAAAACGGCATGAAAGCAACATTATGCTGGGCTTAAACATGGAGATCAACCTAAAAACAAACAAACAAAACCTCTTCCAAGTATTAAGTATCAATCCAGTTCTTATCTCTCACTGTAATAAAATGGAAATGCAATGGAGAAATGTGTTCAATAACCTGTCAAATTGTTTTCAAAATTGCCGTTCAATGCCTGAAAAAAGTACTAAAAAGGGGAAGAAATCAGCCCAGCATTCTCTTTCAACTATGATTATTAAGTAAATAGCTTTGTACGCTCTGGAATCTCGAACGATTGTAGTAGGAAAGAAGTTTTGTCACTTTCTGTAAGGGCTTGCCCATTTAATACGGATCGCTCCGTCTGGGCAACAGAGCACGCTGTCTTGGGTCCCAGACGTAGAGTCTGACCCAAACAATCTATCTAGACCACCATCCTGAATAGGCAGGGATTGCAAAGAGCATGTTCTAAATCCAAGACTCAAAGATAACCAGAATCAACTCTATTCGATTTTGAACGTGGCACTTTCACAAAAGATAATCGTCGTCAACTCCCTTCAATGGATTTAAGATGCTATTCAATTACCTGACCGTTTTACTCTGTTCATCCATCCACTTAGCTTAAACATTAGACAGCGCATCTCCAAAACTTCTCCTTTTCCTCTCAAATACTTTCCCCAGAACAATCCAATGCCCAAAGGAGGTCTTCATAGCAAGGTCTCACTTCCCTCTTTTCAAAAAAAATGAATGGGCTTCCCCGAAAGTAAAGTCACGCCAACTTGGGGGAAAACAGACAACCAAGCTTTGCAATTCAACCCAGCGAGTGCGGGACCAGGTCTGGCCAGGCACCGAGGCGCACCACAACTACCCTGCGCGTCTGCAGATTCCGTAACGACCCGGACACCCTGCGCCCCAGAGGCTCCAACTGCGCCCCCACGGCCCCCGGGGCCCCGCGCAACGGACTCCTCGCGAAGAACTCACCTTGCTGGGCTCCGGCGTCCTCGAGCAGCAGGAGCAGGATAAGTACGAGGAGGAGGAACAGAGGCCTGGGGAAGGAGGTGGAGGAGGAGTTGGAGCGAAGAGGGAGGGGGTGGGAGCGGGAGAGGGGGAGCGCGGCCCGGGCGGGGGCGGCGACCGCGGCCCGGACTAGGAAACGTTGAGGGCTGTGCCCGGTTCTCACCACCGCCCGGCTCGCCATCGCGGCGGCCGGCAGTCCGCCTGCATAGTGCGGGCGCCCCGGGGCCGCGGCACCGGGCGAGCAGGCAAAGGCAGCGGCGGGAGAGCAAGAGGCAGCGCGCGCTTCTCCCCACGCCGCCCGCACTCCGCGAAACCTCCTTCTCCTTCGTCCCTTCCCTCCGCTCCCCTCCCCGAGACCCCAGGCCGGAGCGCTAGGGAGGGGAGGGAAGGAAATGGGGTGCTCGAGCCGCGGAGGACAGCTGGGGGACGCGCCTCCCGAGCCGCGTTCAGCAATCCAACCCCTGCCCACCGCGCTCGTCCTGGGCTCGGGCTGGCTGGCAGGCAGGCCGGCCGCCCGCTCCCTCGCGCTCCCTCTCGCGCGTGCTGGCCACGCCTTCACAGCCCGCCCCGGCCAATCCGCGGGCAGTTCTGGTCCGTCTCCCTCTGCGCCACCCAATCAACACTCGTTCGCCTCGGTCGACCCGTTAGCTCCCCGGCCCACTCCTCGAGCTCCACCGCCCCTCATCTCTCTCCTCCAATCCCCTGCGGCCTTGGGATGCGTCCCACCCGCCTCCCCCAAAACGGGTTCCGCCCCCAAACTCTAGCCCCCGACGGCCCCCTCCCGGCCCGCGCGCCTGTTATTGTTGGGACTTCAGCCCAAGCTGATCCCGCAGAGGCGGTTGCTTGCTCTGGTCAATGACTTCCGGGACTTCCCCCTAGCCCGCTCTCCCTGCTGCTCTGACCCAACTTGCTCCTTGCTCCTCCCACGTCGCACATCAGGCCACTGGAAGGGGTGGGAAACCTGGATTCTGGCTGATTTTAGCAGGGAGCTGAGTCTGAGGGATTTTTTTTTCCCCTCAATAGCAGAGCATGTGTGTGTTCTTTCTTTTTTTTTTTTTTAAATTAAAATTACATCCAGTTGTTGCAGCAACTCCCAGTTACAATAACAGATACAGTGTTCACTGTAAGATGTATATGTATTTGCTGTTGCCTATGACTTTTACCATGTTAATGTGGGCCGGGGGATGGCGCAAAAAAAGTGTATGACAAGATACATGCCCCTAAAGCAATTTAAACCTGACTTCCTAACATTCACTAAGCCATTCTACCAAGACTTGTTGGTCACCTGCTGTGTACCTGCAAACCTACAAGTTGTGGGATTTGCAGTCATAATACAGAAATCTTCCAAAATCTTGTGTTGGGACAGAGATGGCAATGCATCGTGAAAGTCAGAATAAAATAAATACTAATCAGAGTCGTGAGTAATCAGATGGAGGCTGTAAAAAGATGGAGTAACAAAAATAAAATAAATAAATAAATAAAAAAGAAAGAACTGGCTCTTTGGGAAAGGGGAAAGCACAGGACTAGGCAGGAACTGGTTTTAGGAGAAAGATGCCATTTAGGATGTTTTTCTTATCTCTCCTTGCTATTTTTTGGAACTCTGCATTCAGATGGGTGTATCTTTCCTTTTCCCCTTTGCCTTTCACTTCTCTTCTTTTCTCAACTATCTATAAGGCCTCCTCAGATAGCCATTTTGCCTTTTTGCATTTCTTTCTCTTGGGAATGGTGTTAATCACTGCCTCCTGTACCATGTCACGAACCTCCGTCCATAGTTCTTCAGGCACTCTGTCAGATCTAATCCCTTGAATGTATTTGTCACTTTCACTGTATAGTCATAAGGGATTCAATGTAGGTCATACCAGAATGGTCTCGTGGTTTTCCCTACTTTCTTCAATTTAAGTCAGATTTGGCAATAAGGAGTTCATGATCTGAGCCACAGTCTGCCCCCAGTCTTGTTTTTGCTGATTGTATAGAGCTTCTCCACCTTTGGCTGCAAAGAATATAATCAATCTGATTTTGGTGTTGACCATCTGGTGATGTCCATGTGTAGAGTCTTCTCTTGTGTTGTTGGAAGAGGGTGTTTGCTATGACCAGTGCGTTCTCTTGGCAAAACTCTATTAGCCTTTGTCCTACTTCATTCTGTACTCGAAGGCCAAATTTGCCTGAACATTTCATGCAACGATGGGCACAATAAAGGACAAAAATGGTATGGACCTAACAGAAGCAGAAGATATTAAGAGGTGGCAAGAATACACAGAACTATACAAAATAGATCTTCATAACCCAGATAATCACAATGGTGTGATCACTCACCTAGAGCCAGACATCCTGAACTGCGAAGTCAAGTGGTCCTTAGGAAGGATCACTATGAACAAAGCTAGTAGAGGTGATGGAATTCCAGTATGAGCTATTTCAAATCCAGAAAGATGATGCTGTGAAAGTGCTGCACTCAATATGCTTCAAATTTGGGAAACTTAGCAGTGGCCACAGGACTGGAAAAGGTCAGTTTTCATTCCAGTCCCAAAGAAAGGTAATGCCAAAGAATGCTCAAACTATCGCACAACTGCACTCATCTCACACGCTAGCAAAGTAATACTCAAAATTCTCCAAGCCAGGCTTCAACAGTATGTGAACCGTGAGCTTCCAGATGTTCAAGCTGGATTTAGAAAAGGCAGAGGAACCAGAGATCAAGTTGCCAACATCTGTTGGATCATTGAAAAAGCAAGACAATTCCAAAAAAACATCTACTTCTGCTTTATTGACTATGCCAAAGCTTTTGACTTTGTGGATCACAATAAACTGCGGAAAATTCTGAAAGAGATGGGATTACATGGCCATCTGACCTGCCTCTTGAGAAAATTGTATGCAGGTCAGGAAGCAACAGTTAGAACTGGACATGGAACAGTCCAAATAGGGGCTGGACTGGTTCCAAATAGGGAAAGGAATATGTCAAGGCTGTATATTGTCACCCTGCTTATTTAACTTCTATACAGAGTACATCATGAGAAACACTGGGCTGGATGAAGCACAAGCTGGAATCAAGATTACTGGGAGAAATATCAATAATCTCAGATATGCAGATGATACCACCCTTATGGCAGAAAGCAAAGAACTAAAGAGCCTCATGATGAAAGTGAAAGAGGAGAGTGAAAAACTTGGCTTAAAACTCAACATTCAGAAAACTAAGATCATGGCATCTGGTCCCATCACTTCATGGCAAATAGATGGGGAAATAGTGGAAACAGTGACAGACTTTATTTTTTAAGGCTCCAAAATCACTGCAAATAGTGACTGCAGCCATGAAATTAAAAGATGCTTGCTCCTTGGAAGAAAAGTTATGACCAACCTAGACAGCATATTAAAAAGCAGAGACATTACTTTACCAGCAAAGGTCCATCTAGTCAATGCTATAGTTTTTCCAATGGTCATGTATGGATGTGAGAGTTGGACTATAAAGAAAGCTGAACACCAAAGAATTAATGCTTTTGAACTGTGGTGTAGGAGAAGACTCTTAAGAGTCCCTTGGACCGCAAGGAGATCCAGCCAGTCCATCCTAGAGGAGATCAGTCCTGGGTGTTCATTGGAAGGACTGATGCTGAAGCTGAAACTCCAATACTTTGGCCACCTGATGAGAAGAGCTGACTCATTTGAAAAGACCCTGATGCTGGGAGAGATTGAAGGTGGGAGGAGAAAGGGATAACAGAGGATGAGATGATTGGATGGCATCACCGACTCAATGGACATAGAGTCTAAGTAAACTCCTCCAGGAGTTGGTGATGGACAGGGAGGCCTGGGGTGCTGCAGTCCGTGAGGTCACAAAGAGTTGGACATGACTGAGTTACTGAACTGACTAACGGGGATGTTTCTAACATGGGGCCCTAAAAAAGGGATGATGCCATTTAAAAACTGGCAGGGTGGATCAGGTTGTATGAGCAAGCACGTCAGTCTTGGACATACTGGACTTCCATGGCGGTCCAGTGTTTAAGAATCCACCTGCCAATGCAGGGGCCCTGGGTTCAATCCCTGGTCCAGGAAGATTCCATATGCCTTGGAACAACTAAGCCTGTGTGAGACCCCTGAGCCTGTGTGCCGCAGCTGCTGAAGACTGCCTGCCTAGAGCCTGTGCTCCATAACAAGAGAAGCCACCACAATTAGAAGCCCGGGCATTGCAACTGTAGAGTAGCCCCAGCTTGCTGAAACTAGAGAAAGCCTGAGTGCAGCATCGGAGACCCGGTACAGCAATAAATAAAAAGTTTGGACGTACTGAACTTGGGATGTTCACTCAGCTAGCGCCTGATGTTATATAACAGGCAGGTTAACATTTGCGTCTAAAGCTCAGGTTGAGGAATACCTTGAAGTTATGGGTGAGGGTCATAAGTGAGTGTGATTTGAAAACTATGGAAGGGACTGACATCCTCAAATGAAAATCTGAGAATTCAAAAGGATTTTGGAGGTCAACTTTTTCAATTCCCCTGCGGTTAGCATGCACTCAGACACTAAACCCTTGCACCAGTTTTTATTCAATTAGCATTTATTGATGGCCTATAAAACCCTACGGTGCTCAAGGCCTGACATGGACAGTGAGCAAACAAAGTTCAATGAAAGGAGCCAGCGTTGAATGGGGGAGGCAAACGTATAAAGAAATTTGTTGCTATCAGTGCCAGGATGGAAGCATGGACTGATGACCCAATATTAAGTGGAAGGAGTTTAAGGAACCCATCATGGCAAGGATGAACCTCCACCAAGTCCTAAATGAGAAGACAAAGTGAGGAAGGTGGTCTCAGGCCAGCTGTGAAGTAGGCTGGCCCACAGACCCCATGGTGAAGGGTGTTGATGGTGCTGAATGGGGTTAACTACTGCTGACTTAATGGGAGTAACTGAAGACTAGTGTGGAAAAGCGGGTAGGGGCAAGATCTACAAGAGGATGAGATGGGTGGATGGCATCGCCAACTCGATGGACATGAGTTTGAGCAAGCTCTGGGAGTTGGTGGTGGACAGGGAAGCCTGGCCTGCTGCAGTCCATGGGGTCCCAAAGAGTCGGGCACGACTGAGCGACTGAACTGAACTGAACTGAAGAAGTCAGAATTTTATTCTGTAGTATTGAGAAGCAACTGAAGGCTTCTAAGACAGAGTGACATTATCAAATTTTTACTTTAGAAAGTTCAACCAGATAGGTAGGTG